AAAGATTAAGTTTTTCACACAGAGAGTGGTGATGCACTGGAACATGTTGCCCAAGGAGGCTGTGGATGCCCCATCCCTGGAGGCATTCAAGGCCAGGCTGGATGTGGCTCTGGGCAGCCTGGTCTGCTGGTTGGTGAGCCTGCACATGGCAGAGGTGTTGAAACTAGATGATCATTATAGTCCTTTTCAACCCAGGCCATTCTATGATTCTATGATATGGTCATGACTTCTCATTATTTCTCTAACTCTGAAATCAACAAAATACCATTTATTGTTTGTACTTGAGGAAAAAGAGATCCACATTTTCCAACAGAAATCAGTGTGAAATTGCAAGAAATTAGATTAGCAACACTAGAAAGCCCTTTCTGTCATTACATCTGTGCTTACATCAACCACTTTTCTGAGTACCTGCACCATTTTTTTCTTAAACTTTATAAAATGCATTTATCTTTACCCTCATAAATCACCTTAATGAAAGCAGCACAGATTTGTGGAAATGCAATTGAGAAATTTACACAGGTCAGGCATGATTGCATATGCTTACCTCTTGAGCATCTTTGCTAACACGTATCCATATAGAGACTCCCAAAATTATGCAACCACACACCTGTGGGAGAAAATAAACAATATTTAGAAAGATTAGATTCAAGTCCAAATTGCACCAGGCACTGGCCAAAATTCTGAAATAATTTCTTCAACATGGTGAAAGAAACATGAATTGCTAGAGCTTGGAATACCGATTCGTATCCAAGAAACTTCATAAGGATAGTTAAAACTTCAGTTATGCACCAAATCTCTGATGTTTCCACCCCAGAGGAACCATCATTTCTTTGATGATTTATGCTTGTGGTTGGGAAGCACACAAAAATTCTGTCAGATGAGAGAAGGCTATAAATTTCTATAGTATGTATATAACATGACTTTAAAGAACATTGTTTCTTCTATAATGAAAACAATAGATTTTATAAAGAATGCTGGTAGAATGCTGTTGCTAGAGTTATTCAGGACATATATCTTTAGACGTATCCTCTATGGTAAAACTATTAAGAGCAATTCTAACAGTCTCTCTGCTTTCTATATTGCAAAAATATCTGGCCATCTTAGACTATTCCTCCCATAAACTGCATATTGTGATAGTTATTATTTCCATTTTTTAATAGAAAATAACCTTGCTCTGTCTCTTACCTGTGAAAGTAAGACATCTAAGTCTAAGCTTTCTAGCTTGTCCTGAGCAGATATCTTTGAATGAGTTAAATCATCCATTGGTGCTACCAATTTCTTTCCTCTAGCTATAAAAGAAGCCTGGATTGAATTGCTTTAAGATGTCGAAGTCAAGGCAGATGAATCCCAGATCCAGACATATTCCCTAAACATCAATCATTCTCTAATTTTGTTGATCTTTGAGGTATTGTTCTACCTTGTGCCAGCCACAACATTGCTTGCCCTCTCTGTGGTAATTCTCACAAAGAATTTTTCTTTATTAGCAAGACTTGCAGACATATAATTAAAGATCTAATAATATATGAAGACTGAGAGGACTAATAGGAAAGATAAACTGTGGAGGATCAGTCTAGCAAGATTCAGAACCTGTATGGATTTCATACTTCAGTGAGAAATGGCTCTGAAATGTGGTTACAAGCTTCCCATGAAAACTGGGACTATTTCTAACCTTTTAAAATTAAAAAAGCTATTTTTATATGTTTAAGATAATTTTTCCTAGAAAATGTTTTCCCTCAGAAAGACTCATAGAATATTCACCATCAAAAATCATAACTACTTTAGCAGATTATTTAATATGGAACACAGCCAGCCCTCAGACATGAGTATCACACATTTTCTCGCTCTAAGTAAAGCTCCTATAAGTATGTTTTAAACATGAAAAAGAAAGTTGTACAATCGATGACAGCTATACCATGTTATCAAATTTAACTAGAACTCCCCACTGAAATCATCTGAATCCCACTGAATCTGGTATCACACGACTCTGTATTTGGGTCTTGTTCAGCAGCATTATGTGAACCATGTAGCTGTGCATCAAAGTGTTCCTTCTAATGTGAAAAATTTCCACTGAAGCAGCTACTATTGCAAATCCAAACAAAATTTGGCCCATTGCCTTATTCATTATACAGGACCTCCCATAAAAAGCAGCAGAGCGGTCGAAGTAAATAAAGCTGAATGTACGGGAGCTTATCAATATTCATTTCCCCCATTCAAAAAATAAAATGAAATTTTTAAATTAAAGTTTTCAGTACTGTGCATGTTTTTTTAGTTATAAAAAGATTTACTTTAAACTCGTAAGAATGTTAAATTTCAGTAAAATTCTAATTTTTTTTTTTTAATTTTCATCATTGTACACACAAGGTGTACAAGAACACACAAAGAATAAAACTGAAATTCCAAAGCAAATAGTTCTCTTCCCAAAGATCCATAATAAAACACCCTGTATTTGTTTTAACACTCCCTCCTAATTATTAGGTTTTTCTTAAAACTTCAACTAAAGAAACTTTCATTTTTAGCGATCCAGTGCTTTCGTATGGAATAAAGAGATTCTCATTTCCCCAGCACTGGAAGGCTGCCACTGATTTGCTATTTTTGCTGATGTAAGATTTGGAGAAGGGGTCACTTTGGCTGCAACTGTGACCTCAATTAATCAGAAGTTGCCCTGTTGTCAATCAGGCAATCAGATTGCCTCAAACTAGGGATCTCATTTTGCACAGTTGGTGCCAAAAATGGAAATTCAACACTTGCTCATGGTGTGGAGTTGCAGAGGCTTTACAAGTGAGGGTGGCAGGTGAGGCTGCACAGCCTGCAAATGCTGAAGAGAAAGGAAAACTCTGACATAATTATCAGGTTTAATGCACCAAACTGTTAGGACTAGGCCAGGTTTAAGGACAAGCTGGATGGAGCCCTGGTCAGCCTGATCTGATGGGTGGCAACCAGCCCACAGCAAGGGGCTGGAACTTGATGTTCTTTCAAGTCCCATCCAACCTAAGTCATTCTATGATTCATTCTATGATTCTGTGACTAATAAAAGCTCCAGATATGCACCTGACTTCAAAGCACAGATCCCCAGAACACACACTCAGATTTCTTTCCCCTGACCGGAAAGATGCAAAACTCCTATCCCCAGGGGCACATAGTGCACAATCCATCCATGGGGCCAAGGAGAGCTAGACCACACCACTTTGCAGGTCTGACATAACTTTTTCCAGGGCTTTGACACTCCAGAGTACAATGTAAGAACTGCTGCAAAAAAAGGCACAGGAAGGCTGGAAAGCCCAATCCTGATCTCCCAAGGAGGAGACAGTCCCAGAGAGATCACAGGAAGTTTAAAACAAAAGGACACCAGATAAACGTGGGACCGTTGCTGTTATCTAGATAAAGCAAAAGTCACCTTCATTTGTCCCAGTCAGTTTAATTTTCCACCTGCCCAACTTCCTTGTGCACCTGGGAGAGCAGCTGTGAGAGCAGTGGAAATTGCCGTTCTCTGTGTTTCACTACAGCAATTTAATGATTTCCAGGGATTAGAGACAGGAGTTTAATTCAAAGAATTCAGTTTCATTGTACTGTAACCGCATTCCTGTTTGCACCATGCCTGTTCTCCTCTCTCTTGGTAGTGCTAACCCCTCCCTTTAAAGTAAGTCAGCATAGCTGCATTTTGTGTCCTCCTTGACCCCATTCAGGCTGCCACAGGCACAGAAAATTCTTCCAGCAGGAGAATTTTTTAATTGTATCACCTTTTTAATTGTATCACCTTTTCACTTGGGAAATGTTCCTCAAGGCAGCAGCCATACTGTGGCTGATAGTTTCACTTCTGATCTTGATGAACCTCAGGTGAACTTGACAAACCAAAAGCTAACAGCGAGGCGGAACATGACAGAAATAATCTTTTACTCAAAACTTCTCAGAATTCCAGGAGCAGAAACTCTTACAAACTGGCTGAGATATGGCAAATAGGCAAATGTGATTTAATCTACCCTGGGAAAGATGCCTGCCATCCTGTGCCAGGCAGAGGGAGGAACCCCCTTTCCTTGTATGCTGGAGGAACTCAATCATTTCAGTATGGCTTCCATTCATACTGCCAGCCCATACCATTTCCCAGAAATTTATTGCCCACCATCAGAAACTAATTATGACACTAAGCATAAAGCAAAGAACCACAGAGAAGGATATGAAAACCATTTATCAATTAGGAGGCTAAAAATATAAGTACATTTTCCTATCTTCTGTTGCAGCTATCCTTTCAGGATTGTGTAGTTTGTTTGCAAAGAGCAGACAGAAAAACAAAACAAACAAACAAAAAAAAAACCACAAGCAAGCAAACAAGCACAAGAGAATAATGTATGTTAAGATAATGGAGAGTCTGTTATCTTCTGACTCAAATGAGTGATGTCCTTTGAGATGAGGGGCACGTTTCAGACGTGTCTCAGGAAGACAGAACTCTGGCTGTTCTACTTTTCAATCTAGAGGAAAGGCATTTTTTGTAAGAAAAAGACAAAAGAAGAGCAAAAATTAAGCATTCTTCTCTCTCTGATATAGAATCATGCTCTGGTTTCATTTATGCTCTATTATCTTCGTAATTTTTTCAACTACAGACTTTGGATAATGTTGAACACATTTAATGTGTCACTAATAACAATTTAAACATTCACTTACCCAAAATAAGAAGTTGAAGATGAACATGGAGTACTTCAAGCATCTGCTTACACCTGCCATTTTCAAGAAGCTGAGACAAAATTGAGAACTGCTGAAGAAACTTTCCTAGCAGTTTGACCTCAATACAAAGGCTGTTCCTGTTTCTTCAGGAAATCTCTCAGACCACATCAAATGCACTGTGCTCTGCTTCTAAAGGCAAAAATTGTGACCAAGGCTTCTACAGTTATTTAAACAGTTCTCCACAGCTAAACATTAACCAGAATGCTGGGGAAGAACTACCAGGTGTTATCACCAAACCTAAGACTCTCAATGTGTCATTGTGTGTTGTACTTTTTAATAGTTCTGCTAGTCTTGTCCTACACCCTGAAAGTAAATAGATGGTGCAGCAAAAGCAGAATTTGCAAGAGAAAGGGAAATGTTACAGAGTGCTTCCTTTATAATATGAAAATGATCGCATTTCTTAATGCTTTTAAGATTTGAGGTTTACTATTTTATTGTCCACTTTTTTTTTTTTGCCAAAGTTAACTCTTTGAAGTTTGCAGTCCCACTTAAGACATTCGACCAGAAATAAAAGGAGGAAGTCTGTGTTATTCCTGCAAAAGATGGGTAAGGAATCTTCCATCTTGCTATTGCCATTTTCTCCCTCTTGCTGCCTACATTTCCTCTTCCACATCAAATCAGGACCTTGGGAAACTGAGCTCTGTGGTGCACAAATTCTCCTGCTATGCAGCATTGCGATCCCCAGCACAGAGATCACAGTTCTGGTATGAGATTCTGGATGCCTCTAGGCAAAAGGAGCTTGATTTGTCTCAGAAGGTGAGGTGATAAACCTGCTTCATTAGTTTTGTTTTATGTCTTGCTAGTTTTCTTCTGTGCTCCTCAAACAGAAATCTTGAGAGGAGTATAAGTGTGTAATTGCTCTGTCTTTTCTATCAGCTCATTTTGTGGAGGAGTCTGATATACCAGTTCTTGGAAGGAAAAGTGCCAGATAAAAATTAATCAGAAAAAAAAAGATTTATTTTGCACGTGAGCACAAAGGATTTAAATGAGAGAGATTAAGGACATTCTGGACTGAAGTAATTTATTAAGTCCAAGCCCTGATTTAGTCTTTTGCTGTTAGTTCACGTTCTTCAGTTCTGTTGTCTGTATTTGAAAAAACGAAGTGCTAGTGCATAACAAACCTATAGATGACAAAAAATGTGACTTAGATCTGGATATTTAAGATATTTAGGATCTAAAGGGAGGAATCTAATAAGAAACATTTCCTCTGGCTGCTTTCTAACCCAGTTTTTAATGGAGGTGTGATGTTGAAATCCCTTCAGTTGCTTTCTCTAATTATATTTAAAAATACGTGGCCTTTCCCCCTTTTAAGATGTCTCTGTACCACCCTTCAGCTTCCTGGGCTCTTTCTGGAGTAGTCCACTTTAGTCCAACCCTAGGTGATCGACTCTCTGTCTAGTTTATTTCGCAATAACCACATCCACTTTGAATTTGAGAATGTTCCTAAAAATAATTGCACTCATGAAATACAGATTTTGTAAGGATTGGAAGAAACAACTGTGTGGTATGGTTTAGATCGAAAGCACTCAACAAATAAGTAAGTTGAGAAACGCGGGTGTCTTTATGGAGAGATGCCATAGCCACAGATGAATCATGAGAAAATTTTAAAGGGCCGTATAAAATTCTACACAAAGAGCCATGAAGGGTAATAAGAGAATCACAGATGATGCAGAACGTGGGCAGATAATCTGCAGTCAGACCATGCAATTGTAATAAGCCAACATTTTTACATGAGTTCAGAAAGAGCATTTGTACCCAAAACTACACAGCCATAAATTGTCACACACAGTAGATGTTCTTTAAGGCAGTCTTGAGCCGTAGCACTTTTTTTATGTGAAATATTCAGCCCAGGCATTTAGAAAGATATCTTTGAGCTAAATCATGCAAGATTTTCAATGCTATAGGAAGTATGCACAAAGATTCATAGATCAGCCCTCGTGAAATGTTGGTGTTCTGGTAAGACTGTAGTTCCTCTGAAACCATGAAGAATGCATATATTTTTCATATTTAATTATCTCTTCAGAAAAGGCAAAAACAGACTTTCTCAGCACCTGCCTAGTACTCCTGAATAAGATGGAAAATAATAAATAATGTCTAAGTTGAATATATTTCTTAGTGGGTTCCCAGTGTGGCTGCTGAAGAACCCTGTGTCTGAAGAACCCTGTGTCTGAAGTTACTACAACTCCTATATGTTTCATATTTATATTTTATGGTATTTTAAGTAAAATATGTCATCTAAGATTAAAGGCATACAACCAGCTTCCGTTAAGTGACAAGAATTCAAGGTGAATGTTCTGTATGAGTGACTACTTCTTATTTCATGGCGGCAAGGCAATTTTCTGTATGCCTTGGAGAAGCAAAGAAGGAGGCAAACTACAGCTTCATCAAGGGAAGAAGTGTTGCCTGTAAACCTTAACTACTACTTCTCAAGCAAAGCTGCCTCTCCACCAACTGTTGAGACAATCAGATATGCCCTGCCAGCAATAAACCCTTTGTGACAACGTGCTCAACTGCAAAGGGTTTGTTTTGTGAACTCCCAGTGACTTACCTCCCCACCCCAGCATTGGGCACAACCTGGTGCAGTTTGGGCGGGAGCCTCTGACGCATCAGCTGGCACTCCCTGTCCCCACGTGGGAGTTGTGATGACACATGGACTTTGCCTTGTGTGTCATACCAGAAACCAGATAGGGACAGGAATATTTCGACAAGAAAAAAAAAAAAAGCACAGCATTCTTGTCACTGGCCTGGAGTAAAACATCTCATCTTTGACACCAACAAGCTACAGCTGGTTTTATAATGCTTTCATCTTCCTTCTCCTCCAAGTTTTTAGCCACTTTGAGCCATGTTTCCTGGGCCTGACAATCCAAAAGCAGCTTCTCCAGGCCTCACACACCTCTGAGCTCTCTTCTATACATTTATTTTCATGCAATACCATCCTTACAACTCCCTGGGTAATTAAAATTCCCATTTTCTTCTCAAAAATATGATGCAAAACCATATGCAGATGTGAGTATCCCATTTTCCCATGTGTTTTTCCTTCTCTCCAGCCTTCAATATTCAGCCTGCTTCTTCCTTTTTTCTTTAAAGCCTCCATTCCCCTTGTGAAGGGCTCCTCCACAGTCAGGCTAGGTGACCAATTTCCCTATCAGCTGATTCACTGTGTAGTCAGTTATCCTTTGAGGTCCAGACTTAAAATAACACTTTGTGCTCAATATCAGTGAGATTTTCAAACAGTGGATTTGCAAACAGTTTGTTTGCTGCCGGAATTCCTGTTCATCTCATTGATAGGTCAGAACAGAGAGCTTTACTTGGCACAAAGTTTGAAGTCTGAAATAGATCAGTTGAACTCCAGTTCTACTACGCAGACAGAGCTCACTCTATTGTAACATTCCTTTTTTGCTAATCTCTAGCAACCTCACCTGCTGCCTTGAGATGCACACTTCCTTTCTGTTCCTTCAAGAGTTATTCACCCATACCAAGAGAAACAGTGGATATCATGAGCCTTGACAGTCTTTCTAATTGGGGTGTGCTGGATAAAGAAGATTTCTTCAGTCCAAAAGGTAGGGCAAACACATTTAAACAATGGAAATGGGAGCTTCTGTTTTGGTTGTGGGAAGCATTTATAGTAGTGGGTCTGGCTGAGACTGCAGTCAGTCTACAGCACCTCATGCCTTGAGTTTAGATATAACAAACATGATATCTTATTGCAATAGCATAACATCCAGTAATACCTCAGTTATAAAACTGAAGTACAGTCCCACATCTGACTCTTTCTAAAATACTACAGCATCATAACAGATCATATTTATGGAGAATTACTATATGTTGGAATATAAGTGGTACTGACTAAAACAGTGAGTTTATATGAGCTTCCACAGTCAAACAGTTACAGGATTCCTGGCCCTCGTTTTAAAGCAGTCCTTAGATGAAAGGTGAGGGTGAATAGTTTGACAAAAATATACCTGAAAACTTGAATGACTGAAGAAAAATTAGAAGAAACAGAATAGTAGTATTGTTTTTAATCATGTGAATAATACATTAATCTCATGATTTTGGGTAGAATAAGACAGAGAAAACCATAAGCAGATGAATTTTTTGCAAATATCTTCATCTCTGATGGGCCAAATAACTTGACTGACTTCAAGGCTGATCCTACAGTTGACCACATGATAAAGGAAAATGTGTGAGAATATTTTCAACCACTGCTAGGCACATATATGGCTGGCTAACTCAGTTGTCTAGAGCACCTTTGCAGCTTGTAAGGAATGATGAAGCTTAACTGAAAACAGGTATGAAAATAAGCCAGCTAAATTATGCTCTTAAATGACCTATTTCTTTCAAAAACTTGGGCCCAGAAAACTCGACTGAGCTCAGAAAACAGCAGCTCCATGATATGGATCTCCCACAAGAGCTTCCTCAGAGGGAGATCCATATCTGTTGCCTGGCAGACCCTTTCTGCTGTTAGAACGCTCTAGAGGAAGAATTTTCATTTAAGGATCTCTTTACTGTGATATAAAAATTCTCTCAGACCTGAGATCTCCCGTAGCTCAGAAGTGCATTGACTCCAGCTACCCAACCTCTAGTTCAGAACAATTTAGAATCCACTTAGAAAGCGACCTCTGTGGTCCTTTGGTGCTAAAATTGCTATTGCCTTCTCCCAGATCTTCTCCTGCTACTGCACTCTAAAATACTCTGAGGGTGAACAGAATTGTTGCTCAGAGCAGGATCTGAGGCTTCTGTTTCCAAGGGTCTCTATGAGTGAACTGGGCTTCTATTAGAGGCGCAGTGGGATCTGGTTTCTTGATGTTACTCCTTTTCCTTTTAAGTAGTTAGTGTTCAGAGTCACTAACAATGTAACCCCTTACTTCATGACTACTGTGTTCCTCGGCACTCCAGCCATTGCAGGGGGGTTGGATTAGATAACCTTCAGAGGTTCTTCCCAACTCAAACAATTCTATGAGTTTATGATCCTTTAAAAATGTCTAGGTAGAGATTCAGCCCAGTACATGAGTTGGTGAGAAACACAGCTCAAAAGAGTCAATACTTAAAGCAAACCTGGATGTCCAATCCATATCTGTACACGCAAGGGCAAGCAAATCTTGCTCTGATCCCAGCTCTGAGCTGGAAAATGAATAACTGGGTTAACCTGGTGTTCTCTCTTCTGTGTGTGACGTGGTGAACAGCAGTGTGGAGATAAAATATCCCTTACCCATGAAAGGTCTCTAGACCAGTACTGCCATGACCCAAGCGAGTGTGTTGGCCATTGCAGTATTGATCAAGGGTGCACTGCTCTCTTCTCCTGACCAGATTTCTCTTATTAGCATTGGAAATATTGTTCCCAGCAGGAAGAGAAAAAGAGTTTAATGGGGATATGTCTCCACAAACGTTTTCTATTCTGACAAAACAGTTTCCTCAGAAAATCCCCAGCCAGCTCAGTGCTGGACTCCTGTCCAGGTGCTGTGCAGCCTGATGCCAGTATCATTCACATATTTCTGCTTCAGAAGGCTCTGGTATCTTGAATACACTCACTTCCCCTAAAGTAGCAACTCTTTGACCAGAAAACAAACCTCATGCAGCAGGTCTGCATCTTATTGACTCTCCTCCCAAAGGATGCAGCCTCCTCTTTTCTTATGTGCCAGTTTTCTTCTAAGCCCTTCATCTGAAAACTCCCTGAAATGCATGTTTTTAAGTTTTCATTTATATTTGACTCATATTAAAATAAGGTAAAGACCGTAAGTGTGAAAAAACTCATATGCCTCACCCACACATTTCTCTTTTCACCTTCTCCTTTACCCAGACCTTTTCATTCACTACTAGCTTTCTTGGCTGTTATACATCCTTTTTGCTCATTTACATTCCTCACGAGCTAAGCTGTTCTTTTATGTAAGGCTCATGTCAGGGATTTCCTATTTCCCAGAGCCTGGTCAGAATTAGTTTAAACTAAACATCACTGGGTTTTAAACATTTTCTTGCTTTCAAAATGAGTTTGTCATGAATTAACATTCTAATCAGTGTCAGTAAGGGTTTCACTATTTATTCTGTAAGTACATTATTAGATACAACTTTGTTAAGAAATTTTTTCTAAGGAATCTATACTGAATAAAATTTTGAAGGTTCATACTATATAGGCAATGCCCAACATATAAGAGCTGTGACTAACATATGAAGTGATATCTTCTATCATCAAGACTTGTATATCTTGAAATTATCTGCGTGATCAAGGACTGATGATTGGCAATAAAGATGCCTTAGAAATAGAGAGAATAGCCTTTGTCAAAGATTAAAAAGCTTTCAGATACATCTTTAGAGCATCACCTTATTTTTCAAGACAGGTGAAGGAGCTTTTCCTGACTGTTTCTCCTGGAAAAAGACATATATTTTGTATTCAGGTCTAAATACCAGGAACTTGATCTTGATTTTGTTTACGTTCATGTAAATCACAAGTTGTTTATAAGGCAAGTCCCTGCCAGAGCAGATTAGAACTTTTATATCCAACTTTTCTCCATGCCCTAATCTTTGCTAAGGGAAAGGAATAAAACTACCAGAAAAATGTGACACTCTCTCTCTGAATTGTCCCTGCTGCATTTCAGCCATGGATGGGAAGAGTCTCAGACCCAAATGATATGAAGCCCACTGCTATTTTGTGATTCAAAAGCCAGATACCAAACTACATGTTTGAAAATGTGAACTAGGTTATTCTTTTGTTGCCTTATGGACATCAATTATATAACTGTAATGATACTATACATATGCTATAATGATTCTGTACTTTTGTACTTTTAATGACCTTTGTCTTGCCAGTACTATAACTGTAAAGATGTAAAGATCATCTTGAAGTTTCTTAACATCTTAGATGAAAACTCTACATGGGCGAGCAGACCATGTGGTCACCAGTTATGTTTAGAATTAGTACATGGGAAGTACATTAACATCTGTCATGAAATTTTGCTCCAAAAATGAAAATTTGATATTCTATTTTGACAAGTATATTTCTTCTATTCCAGGATAATGTGACACTCAATCTCCACTTTCACTGAGGCATACCTCTGTTTGGCAAAGTAAGTAAACACATACAAAAATTAAAAAACAAATGTAAGTAAGCAAGTTTTAGTTTTCAACATTATTTATCCCTTAAGTCTCGCTTGGGATAAAACATCCGTGCTGTGAAGGTTGAATGGGAGCTTCTTTATTTTTCTATGGTAGACGGAGCAGTGCTATCAAAATAATGCTACACAACAAGTGAGCTGCGAGCTTCACATCCCACTGAAACTCAGAGATCCTCTGGGACAGCTCTACCAGATGTGTATAGTCTTTTTACAGTCTAGAGAGGCATTTCCACCAAACCTCATCTGCTCGCTGACCTTCACAATCCTGCTGACATTAAACTTTGCTGGTCTGCAGTGCTCTGTGGACACTGGAGTCTCTTCTGATTCAGATAGCTGCATTGCTTTTTTAGTTTAATCCTCTCACACACAAACCTTTCATTTCTGCCCTTGAGTACTGTTTTTTTCACAGAGCATGAGTATGAAAATTCTATCATTTGCAGACTATAAGCATTTGCAGAAAAACTCATATTTTCATTCCCACTCATCTTTGTCCCACAAGTGCTATTCATTTATCCCCTATATACATAAAAAGGCTCTTTTCTTTTTTTTCTTTTTCTTTTTTTTCTTTTTCTTTTTTTTCCTGTAGCTGAAAGGACAGGAAAAGAATTGAAGGGTATTACTGAAGACTTTATAGTAACTACCAAATAGCAGAGTTAGTGACTATACCTACTGGCAGTGATCCAGATTTGTAACTTGCACATGTGCAATTCACATTTGTACTAAAAACTAATTTCCTACTGAAGCCATTGAAGAAAGATGCTGCAAAGAGCCCAGTCCTCAGAAGAGCTGAGGAGCCCATGCTGAGGGACTGTTGGCCTCTCAAGACTGCAATTAGAGCTGAGTGCTGAGCTGCTTTCAGAAGAATTTTGGTACCACCCAGAACTAATGTCCAAATGTAAACCACTACCATAAAAATAGTTCCTTTGTCTTCAGATGGGATTACCTCCTTCTAAACAGACAAGCACATGCAGATAGAATGTCACTGCAGCAGATAACTCTTGGCTATTAAATAAAGATGATTCACTTCTTTAACACTACAAGATGTGTCCTGTGTATTCCTTTACTGAGATAGAAATAAGAGAGATGCACACTGGGACAAACCAGGGCTTTTGTACCTGTAGAAGTTCTGAGAGGCCAGCTCAGCCTTTCTGAGACTGATGTACTTCCTCACTTGCTCACTGATCCCCTTGACTCATTTTGTGTCAAACAGTGCAATACCAGAAGGGATGAGCTTCTGAGCAACAGTATCTGATTGCCACTACCCATGAAGGTCTGCACACAGTTGTCCTTGGAGCTGACTCTGAAACTTGTAAATGTTCTCTACAGAGACAGGGAAGAGAGCCTTTATGGAACAACCGTACCTCAGAGCACCCGTTCTGCATGGACAACTAGAATGGCAGAGGTCCCTGCTACTTTCTGGTTAAAAACTTGTGCAGAATTCCAGATCAAATTAAGTTAGGAAGTGTATTTTGTTATCAGAATTGTTGAGACAAATATTCATCCCTGAGAAAGTATTTGATTAAGCCAAAACCAAATCTCGAGCAACCATGTTGATAACCAAGGCATCAGCTGCAGAAACTTACAGAAGTATGGATCAAAATCCATGCACATGATAAAATTCTGTAATTTAAAATAACCTATGTAATAGGAACATCTAAATCAGAGGTAGGAATGCCAAGAGGAATAAAAGTGGAAATTTCACAGGTAAAAGTGAAGCAGGATCATTTTCAGATCATGCCTCCTTTGAGCACAATTGCTGTAGTTCTTAGATAAAAAAAAAAAAAAAAAAGCAAAAGCTGTAGAGTCTTCATCAGCATATAGTTAGGATATCTGTCTTTTCTTTGCTGAGCCATTTACCATCTCAAAATGACATATTTCTTCCTTTGTCATGTCTATGGAGGAGATTAGCAAGCATACACACATTATACACTTCATTTATCCTTGTGATGATTCATGCGCATGAGGATCGTACTCTAATCCAAGTCAGACCACTAAAAATACTTGACCTCCAGATGGCTGTGCCTGTACTGATTGCTGAAGCTGAGAGTAGTTTGGTCACACCGTTTTTCTTTTCATATCAATGTAGTACAAATTAAACATACTCAGACTGTTTTTATGAAGGGTGCATGTGGCAGTATGCATAAAAAGAATCCATTGGTCAAGGATATGGACTAGTTAAAGATTGAGTTCAAAGTCTAGCACCATTGAAATTTGCTCTTAGAAGAGTCCTTGGACACTCGAAATTAAGCACAACCACACGGTGGCAAGAATTAAACTTTTCAGAAGATGCTAAATATAATGGGAGTGTCCTCCTGGATACACTCTGTAGATTGCATGGGACTGTGCTTCAGGGGTACCTGAGATCTTTGGAAGGTGTGCCAGTGAAGTACTAGAACCAAATAGAAATGTTGCGAGGAATAACCATGAATCTAATGACTAACTATGTGTTTGAGTTCATCTTCATATTAGATTTTCATAGTTCATACTTCTTCTTAAGAAGTCAAAGTTATTCCCAGGTCTGAATTGCTTCCTCCAATGCTCTTTTCCCTGTCACATGGAAGTCAGACCTAGGCTTTTATGAGTACTTCAGTTTAGTTTTATCTGGACTTATCACTACAGTGCTCCAAATTTATTCCATGACAGCACATAAAATTCTCCATTGATAAGGTATTTCTTTTCCAGAATTGACATACAGAATTTCAGCCACCTGAAAGGTAGGTCTGTAATTTTAATGTATGTTCCTAACTGGAAGGAGAGCCATCCCAAGTATATGAAACAGGTGCGGTGGCTTATCACTGGCAAGTTTTTCTCTCTTTTCTGACTATGGAGAGAACTTAAAGGATGAGCTCACATTCTGTGCCAGATTTAGGAAGCTAATGCTAAAGGAAATACATACTGTGCTAAGAATATACCATAAGACAAAGCCTGACGGTTTTACCCAGAGGTAAGATATATAGCTGTTTTCCAGCCTGTTGGATTACTTAGAAAATATGTATTCATCCCAGAAAGTCTGTTAATCATATGCATAAAGGATCAGATTCCCACCTGGTGAAAACTGAAGTAACTTCATTGGTTTCAAAGTTGGGCTCAATAGCAGAAATAACGTACCACAGGCCACTGACTCCTCCTGAGGCTATTGAAAAGGAATTCATCAGATCAGAATAAATGTAGGAAGTTTAATACCTTCCACTATGATCTGTCTGATGTATTTCCTCATAAAGCCTGTCAACAATGGCAAAAAAAAAATAAAATCAAAATCTCAAAGGTCAAAGGCTGTTCTCTAAAACCCCATCTGCACTGCAGTTTCAATAGATGTGCTGTTCACTGTGGTGCATTCTACTTCACTTCAAGCTTTTAAATTAAATCTGGATATCTTTCTGAAATGATATGCTATAGATCAAAGAAAAGTTTGGGCCTGAAGCAAAAATGAGTGAGTGGGTTTCCATGGGCTGCATTACATTAGAGTTCAGAATGGATGATCTTAATGCTCTCTCCTCACCTAAACATATGAATCCAGCCTCACTTAGATAGACAGTAATTCACTGCCATAGGTATGCTGATTATGTTGTACTATAAAAATACATAAAATACATCTAATTGAAGAGATTCACCCTTGAGTTCAGTGAGTCCTCCTGAGTCATGGAAGCTACCCCCTATTTATTGCAGACATCATATTGTATCCTTTTCTATCAAAACATTTTTTGCAGCTTGGGTTTTTACTTCCTCTGCTTCCATTGCCATACTGGTTAGGAAAATCCTTTGAATTTCCAGTCTGAATTAGCACGTGGAGAGTTTACACTTAGTTTATTTCTATCTTTTCTGACAACCCTGTCTTTTAGCTAAAATAGTTGTTTTTGTTCTGTAACATCTCTGTCAAATGAAAGACTGCTTTGCTAAGAAGATGCCACATTCTCCTAGTTTCTCCTCACAAGGTTCAGCTGTTCCACAGCTGAACTTCACCATGTTTATCTGCTCCTGTATGAGTTCAGTGTTTCTGAAGACTGGACCCCCAGTCTTGGCTGTATCATACTGACAGTACATGCTTATGCTGGTAAATAATATGCCAAGTTCACAACCTCATTTTAGCTTAATTACTTAATTTCTGGTTTATGGCAAAAGTGTTTCTCTATCCTTGTCCTAGCTAAATACACAATATTTTGTTTTGCAGAAAACTTCCCCTCTCTAATTCTCTACTTTCTATAGCTTGGTTACTCATACCTAAATAATGTCTCAAACCTTTGTGTCACCAGTGCTGTCCTGATAGTAAAACTTAACTTTCATGCTGCAATTGAAAATATTAAACAAGCACAGTCCCAGCTCTGCTCCTTTGGTACTCCTACTTTTCTCCTCTGCTTGATAACATCTGTATTTTAAGTATCTCCTTGCCCATCAGGGACCACTTCCATCTATCTCCACTGGTTTAACTGATAACAACTAGTGAGGCATCCTGAGCTACTCAATTTCCATTTTCTATGGAAGTGGTTGTATTATCATGCAGATTTCACTTTCTTCAGGGCAAGAACAGTGATTTTCTACATTTTAGATAAGTACTTATCAGAGAAGTATAAGTCTTAGTGTCTAAGCAAGTCTCAATCTTGAATGAGAGGAAGAATCCCCACTATCAGGGGATGAATTTCCTCTAAAGGCAGAGTGAACAAACATAATCCACTCCTCCCCTTGAAATCAGGACCCTGTAGACATAAGGAAGAAAGATCCAGATGGCTATTAGGAAAACAAAGCTACTTCTGTCTTAGTTTACTCTCTAGGACAGTAAACAAACCGTGGATCACTTGTGGAATTGAACTGTCCTCAGTGTTTGTGCACATTGCTGTAAACTGGTGCTTTAAATTATGTGACAGAAGCAGAAGATTCCTGAATTTCTACCATTAAGTATTCAACACTGTCCAGCAAACTGACTTCCAACCTGTTCCAGTAATGACCTTGCCATATAGATGTGAGCAGTTACCTGAATCCCACCAAGAAACTATCTGACCTCCCTGAGTCCTTCATTCGTGCTCACTTTTCAGACAGACAGCAAACATTTCACTGCTATAGACCTATTCAGGTCTACAAAGACTGGTCTCTTGCAGATGCTGGATTTGAACTTCTCTCTTTATGCTGCATAGTATCCTGCCCACTCTTTTTCTTCATGCTCCTCTGTATTCATTTTTCTCTTCTTCCCTAGACAGTGGTTGCCAGATGACTCTATTCTTCTTCCTGTCATTTTTGAATCTGGCTGTTCTACTCTAGATTCCTTCTCCCACCTTGTCTCCCTTCCTGTTTTTCATGTCACAGTAGAGAAAATCCACGCCTCAATGACTGCTGTCTTTCAGTTGGCTCTCTATTCCTTTACATTTTTTTCTTATATTTCCCGAGTCAACTTATCTAGAACAGCACTGGCATTTTCATGTGCAGTAGGTAGTTGCAAATTGTTTTCTGTGAAGCCTGTTCTTCTACAACCATCTGTACTCTGGCATCAGCTGATTCTACTTAGCTGATGTCTGCTCATCTCCTTATCTTGGAGCTCTGGAAGGTCACACTTCATGCACATGTTGTTCTGATCAGAGGTGTTCTATAAGTTAATGCAATATAGGTAGCTCTTCCCCAACTAGTTCTGCTGATTCTGCTGTTGCTTGGATTTCTTCTTCTCCAGCTATAATTGACATCATTTTCTTGTCCTAGTAGCCTCTGCTTTTGAAGACAAAAATACATTTTTTTTGACAAAGAAACAACAAGAGCTATATAAAGTTAACTTTTCACTACTTTCTATTTTTTCCTGCAATAACTTAATTTTGATTACTGGAATGAAACATCTGGCTGAGATCTCTCAGCATCTAACCAGACTTCTGTATCCAGCCATTGTGTTCCCAGGCAATGTGTCTCCCAAATTATGACAACATACCAACACAGACATAAAATGTGTTTATGAGTCTTCAACTGCTGTGGAGGATGTGAGATCATTGGGCTGAATACTTAACCACATTAGACTTGTTTGGGCTCTATTGCAGCTTTCAAGAGAAAACTTAAAGGTAGTTAAACA